AGTGACCTTGAAGGGGATTAACTATCTCCTATGGTCTAGACTGGTGAAAACTGCCCTTGGAAGAAGAGGATTATGGAGTCATGTCTCTACTGGAGCCGCTCCAAAGCAGATCCCCCAAGGAGAAGATGAGAAGGGGACTGAGGTGAGTGAAGAAGACAAATGGTCCCAAGAAGATCAAATGGTGCTGTCTCTCATTCACTGATCTCTTGAACCAGCTATCTTGGAGTCTTATTCATACTGTGAGACTGCCAAGAAACTATGGGACACACTATACAAAGTGTATGGAAATGTCTCTAACCTCACAAGGGTCTTTGAGGTAAAGAGAGCTATAAACGCTTTGAGTCAGGCTGACATGGATTTCCAAGCTCACTTTGGGAAGTCCAGATCTTTTTGGGCAGAGCTAGAGATGCTTAGACCACCCACGGTTAACCCTACTACCTTGAATGAGAGGCGAGAAGAGGATAAGGTGTTTGGGTTGTTGCTTACTCTCAATCCAGCATACAATGACCTAATCAAACACATCTTGAGAGCTGACAAACTACCAACTCTGGATGAGGTATGCGCTCAGATTCAAAAGGAAGGAGGGTCTTTGGGTCTATTTGGAAGCAAAGGAGAGCCGGTTACAATCCATCAAGCTGAAGCTGTGGCAAACAAGGGTGTGTACAAGCCGGAGGAGAGGAAGAACTTGGTCTGTGAACACTGTAAAAAGAAGAGTCACATAAAGGACAAGTGCTGGATTCTCCATCCCCACCTGAAGCCTAACAAGTTCAAGGAGCCACGCTCACAGTACATGGATGCTAGAGCTAACTTCTCAACTGATGGAGGGGAACCTGCTACAGCAAGGAACCATCCTGATGAAACTATCAAGCGATCAGACTTGGAGGCTCTCATCAAGACCTTGAAAGAAAACTCCGGTAACCCTAGAACCCTTGGTATCTCTCTAAGTGCATCTCACATTGCGGGTAGCTCTATGAATGTTGTTGAATCACAAAAGCCATTAGTTATTGATTCTGGTGCCTCACACCATATGATAAGTGATTTAAAACTGATTAAAAACATAGAGCCTGCATTAGGAAGAGTTATGATAGCAAATGGAGATACAATACCAATAAAAGGGGTGGGTGAATTAAAACTATTTGATAAAGTTTCCAAGGCATTTTACATGCCTAATTTTGCTTCAAACTTGCTGTCGGTTAAGAAGGTCACAAATGATTTGAATTGTCATGTAACCTTCACACCTAATGAAGTTTACTTTCAGGATATTGACTCTAGTAGGTTGCTTGGAAAAGGTGTCACCAAGGGAGACTTGTACTTGCTTGAAGACATACTACCAGCTTCTGATTTATCTTGTGCTTTAAATTATGTTTCTGAATTACCTAAAGATGTAATATGGCATGCAAGATTGGCTCTCATCAAGGCCTTGAAAGAAAACTCTCGTGCCTTGAACATCATATTGCCTAGTGTTTTGTTTAAGAGTGATTGTGAGGCTTGTATCTTAGGAAAGCATTGTAGAAGTGTTTTTCCTAAATCAAAGACCATATATGACAATTGTTTTGACTTAATTCATAGTGATGTGTGGACTGCTCTATGTGCATCTAGAGAACAACATAAATACTTTGTCACATTCATAGATGAAAAATCTAAATACACATGGATCACCTTGTTGCAATCTAAACATAGGGTTCTAGAAGCTTTTAAAAATTTTCAGACCTATATCACTAACCATTTCAATGTTAAGATCAAGATTCTTAGGTCTGATAATGGAGGTGAATATACTAGCACATCCTTCAAGCAACATCTAGCAACATATGAATCATACACCAAACCAGCTGCCCCTATGCCCCACAACAAAATGGTGTGGCCGAGAGGAAGAATATACATTTGATGGAAGTGGCCAGGAGCATAATGTTTCATTCAAATGTTCCCAAGAGATTTTGGGGAGATGCTGTGGTCACAGCCACTTATCTTATCAACCGGACACCCACAAGGGTTCTCCATGATGCTACTCCATATGAGGTATTAAATAAGACAAAACCATCTATTGATCATCTAAGGGTGTTTGGGTGTGTGTGTTTTGGTTCCAGGTGAATTAAGAAACAAACTAGAAGCAAGAAGCACAAATGCAATGTTTATTGGGTATTCTACTAAAAAAAAAGGATATAAGTGCTATGTCCCAGAGACCAGGAGAGTCCTTGTATCCAGGGATGTTAAGTTCTTAGAATCCAAAGGCTACTATGATGAGAAGAGTTGGGGAGAACTCAAGGATCTATCTCAATCTGCCTCGGACAGAGCTAACAACTTGAGAGTTCTAATGGAAAGGCTTGGCATCAGTTTACCACAACAGCCTGAACGGGTCAGGGAGGTCCCAACTCAAGCTGTAGAAGAAGCTGTAGAAGAGGTTGGATTCACTCAACCTGATCATGAGAGGGGCAATGATGATCAACCTGAAGACTCAGTGGCTCATGATCAAGATGAGTTCATCTCAGACCCGGCAAATGAGGCTCAAGAGGAGAATGGTTCAGATCAGGTTCATGAACAAGCTCATGATGAGACAGAATCAGGCCAATCACAACCATTGAGAAGGAGTACCAGAGTGAAGAAACCATCCAAGTGGGTCGACACCAAAATGTATTTCAATAGCAATGCAGTGGCTCATCCAATAAGTGCAGTATGCTCTCTTGCTCAGTATCCAGAGCATCATCAAGTATTCATCAGTGAATTGGATCAGGAATGGATACCAAGATCGTATGAAAAAGCTATGCAACATGACGAATGGAGAGAATCTGTTGGAGATGAGGTTGGTGCCATGATCAAGAATGATACATGGTTTGAAACTGAGCTTCCCAAAGGCAAGAAAGCTGTGACAAGTCGACTGCTATATACCATCAAGTAAGGAGCCAATGAAAAGCCGGAAAGGAAGAAGACAAGACTGGTGGCAAGAGGTTATACTCAAGTCTATGGAGAAGACTATCTAGACACCTTTGCACCAGTGGCTAAGCTACATACCATCAGGATTCTATTGTCTTTAGCAGTCAACCTTGAGTGGGATCTATGGAAAATGGATGTGAAGAATTCCTTCTTGCAAGGTGAGCTAGAAGATGAAGTATACATGAGGCCACCCCCGGGTATGGAAGACATGGTCAAACCAGGGAATGTACTCAGGCTTAAGAAGGCAGTCTTTGGCTTAAAACAATCACCAAGAGCTTGGTACCACAAACTAAGCACAACACTTAATGGGAGAGGTTTTGTGAAGTCTCAAGCTGATCATACACTTTTCACTCTCACCAGCAAGCAAGGAATTGTTGTGATCCTAGTATATGTGGATGATATCATCATCACTGTTAGTGACCAAAAGGGAATCATCTCAACCAAAGCTTTTATCAAATCTGCATTTGACATCAAGGATCTAGGAGAGTTAAAATACTTTCTTGGGATTGAGATGTGTAGATCAAACCAGGGATTGTTCATATCCCAAAGGAAGTATACTCTAGACATTCTAAAGGATGCAGGAGACCTTGGTGGGAAGAAAGCCAAAACTCCATTGGAAGAAGGCTATAAGGTATTGTGTGAGGGGGAGTATGAGGATACTCCATTCAAGGATGTCAAGAAGTATAGGAGAATGGTTGGGAAGCTGATATACTTGACCATCACTCGACCAGATGTGTGTTTTGCTGTTAATCAAGTGAGTCAACACATGCAAACACCTAAGGTCTATCAGTGGAACATGGTAGAAAGAATCCTAAGGTACCTAAGAGAGACTACTGGACAAGGTGTGTGGATGGCGTGTAATAAGAGTACTGAAGTGATTGGGTATTGTGATGCTGATTAGGCTGGAGACATAGTTGATAGGAGATCAACAACCGGCTATTGCACCTTCATTGGAGGGAATCTGGTCACATGGAAGAGCAAGAAACAGAAAGTGGTGTCTTGCTCAAGTGCTGAGGCAGAGTACCGATCTATGAGAAAGCTAACTAGTGAACTCATATGGATCAAGGGACTGCTAAGGGACTTGGGTATAGAGATCACTACACCTATGACAATGCAGTGTGACAATCAGGCAGCTATACACATTGCATCTAACTCAGTATTCCATGAGAGGACAAAGCATATAGAAGTAGATTGTCATAAGGTGAGACAAGCAGTGGAACAACAAGTGATTCTTCCATGCTACACCAGAAGTGAAGATCAATTGGCTGGCATATTTACTAAGGCCACAAGCAGCAAAGTCTGTGAGTTCATTCATCCAAAGCTTGGACTCATAGACCTCACATGTCAATGATCTTCCCTTCATGAAGTGTTCTACTCTTTTTCCTTGGCTTGGGTTTTATCCCATGAGGTTTTACCTTGCTGAGGTTTTAGTGAGGGAATGCTTCATGATTTCCAAGCTTGACTTGTTCCACATGGTCAAGCTTGAGGGGGAGTGTTGACATGAAGCATAATTATGTTAGAGATTTATAAGGGGTTTATAACTTATAAAGCTTTATAAAGTTTTTATAAGGATTGCTTGTCTTGGGGACTTTGTCACCTACGGTGGATTGCTACCGGACTCAGTGCCTACGGAGAGACAGGTACCTTGAAGGACTTTGTCACCTACGGTGGGTCGCTACCGGTCTCAGTGCCTAAGGAGAGACAGGTACCTTCAAGGATTTTGTTACCTACGGTGGGTTGCTATCGGTCTCAGTGGATAGTCCCCACAACGTTCAGATCTCTAACGTTCAGATTCTCTTTATTTTGAATTTGTAGAATTGGAAACACCTATATAGGTGTTATGTTGAACTCTTATTCAATCTAAGGAAATATGTTCCTCAATATTCTTGTTCCTCTCTCTCTTTAGTTTGAACAAACTCATCTCTCTCTCTCCCGGATCTTGATTATTCTCACACAAACTCATCTTAATCTCATTTTAATTTCAGTTAGATGTAGAAAACAACGCATTTATGATTTTGGGAAAACTCTCTTTCCAAGGTCTTACCATGTATAGCTCATTTGAGGAGCCTTAGACTGAGATCGAGACAGCACCTGGTCCGTTTCTAGAGGCAATTACATCTTTTAACGGAAACTTTTATGCCATTGATCCTGCCGGAGTAACCAAGGTGGTAAAGCCAACTCTAGAAGTGAATTCTTTTCAACCGTCGAGGCCTTGCGATAAGACGAGAAAACGTTGGGTAAGTGGTACACACAACTTTTTTTTTTTTACAGAGAAACATCCTAAAATTACATTTATTTTTTCAAACATAGCACATATCATTATGTGAACATTACTTGTTTATCCTATTATATTTAGGTTCCCCCATTCCAATTTAAAACTTAGATTTCTTTATTAAAAGAGTTTTAGCAATTTATGTGTTTATTGTGTACTTCTAATTATTCAGGATTTAGATTTCTCCAATTACAAAAGGTTTTAATTTTTTTCAAAAAAGGCTAGTTTATTTAGGAGAATTGACTTTTTTAGATCCTTCTTTTTTTTTTATCTACTTTCAAGATATGCTTTCCAATTTTAATGCAAAAAAACAATTATTTCCGTTACATAAAATATGGTTTTGACACATTTCAAACTTATTAAAAATAGAATAGAGAACTCTGTTTTGTTGGTTATTCTATTTCAGTCTAGTTACCGAGACCACCTCAAGTTTGAGTAATACAATACTCGTTCGATGTCAAAAAAAAAACTTATTAAAAACAGATACAAAAGTACATGGCTTACTGAATATATCACTAACTGAAATGTATATATAACCCTTCATCATAATCATCTTTATAAAAACATTTTTCCGTTATATTGTCTATATCCAGCTTTTCAAGTCGGAGGACAAACTCCTACTAGTAGAGATGTGCACCAATAAACGAAAGGAATATCTCAGACAAAAACTCCTAGCAGAAATGGGATGGTTCGAGGTTTCAGAGTTAAACAAGGAGAGAAATGATTGGATTCAAGTGGAAGATCTGGGTGGTCGCGTCTTGTTTGGGATTACCATTGCTCTTTTTCTTGCTTGCTTAATCAGATTCCGGGTTTCAGACCCAACTCTATAATATTCAAGGGTATTTTGGATGTCAAATGAATCAGCATCAAAGTTATGAGGTGTTTGAATTTGGTGAGCAAGGCTTTAGATCGTTTGAAGATATCCCTGAGAATCTCCCCCCATGGATATTTTTCCAATGGATGATTCATCAGAAAACATAATTAATGTTTGAATCATCACATGTCAACCCCTAAAACAAACTATTTTCCTAAACTTTTATGTATATCAACTAGATTTCTCGTAGTATGCCATTGAATTTCGCTTCGTAGTTTGGCAAGGACTTGCGATTCATTGCATGCAGTGCAACCCCAATTGTCCAAAGATAGAAAAGTAAAACTATATTTTAGTGGAAAGAAAAGTAAATAAACCAAAATTCTTACAAGAATTATGCGTCAACTTATCCAGAAAAAAAAAATAAAATATTGAAGCGTCAATGTGCGGGGTCATTCCTTTAAGAAAACTTATCCAGTGGGAATCAGAGTTTTATCCCTTTGATGATTATGAGCTAATGAGATTTTTTTCCTTTGTATGTTCTCAGTCTCCTGAGCTCAGGCATTATGCTCCTGGTGTTTCTATTATCCTCGTTGGAACAAAATTTGGTAACCAAACACTTTTCCTCACTGATCTGACCATCTTCTTCTTAGCTTTTCTTTCAAACTTTTGTATGATCAATGTGGTGTTTGCAGACCTTCGAGATGACAATCAATTCTTCATAGATCATCCTGGTGTAGTACCCATCACTACAAACCGGGTACTGGTAATCTTGTTACAGTTTTAGTCTCGCCATGATTACCATTTTTTGATAGAATATGGTCTAATGTTTTCATGAATGATGCAGGGAGAGGAGCTGAATGTTGAGATGAGCTTGAATAAATCTTGAGGTTGCAAGCAAAGCTATTCTTAGTAGGATTATGATTACTTATGGATAAGGATCATTAACGTGTGTGTGCTATTACAATTAGGAATAGGTTTTATCTGTCTCTATATAAAGCAATGTCGGGTAATGACATTAGCTATGATTATTGTGACTTTGTGTTCTTTAGGTTTTGAGTTATTTTCCTAAAGCTTTGAGTGATTGAGTGATTGAATAAGAGAAGAGTTGTTTTCATATTAAGTTTGTGTGACTCAATATTTGGTATCAGAGCGTTATTTCTGAAACTTTGATTGAGATTTCTTGCTTAGGTAAAACAATGGCGGACATCAAGGATGAGGTCGAGAAACCCAGCAAGGAAGCTGGATCATCCTCGATAAAACTTCCTATGTTGAATTCCACCAATTACACCGTTTGGTCCATGCAAATGAAGATTGCACTTAAGGTTAACAAAATCTGGAAATAATTGATCCCGGAACCAAGGATGACAAGAAGAATGATTTGGCTATTGCCTTATTATTTCAATCCATATCTGAAGCGTTAATCTTGCAAGTGGGAAATCTGGATACGGCTAAAGCACTCTGGGAAGCAATTCAAGCTCGACATGTTGGAGCAGAAAGAGTTAGAGAGGCACGATTGCAAACCTTAAACACATAATTCGATAGATTAAAGATGAAGGAAACTGAAACAATAGATTCCTTCACCGACAAGCTATCTGAGATCTCAGCAAAAACTGCCTCTCTCGGAGAAATCATGGAGGAATCGAAAATTGTGAAATTTTTTTTTTAAAAGCCTGCCGAGAAGAAAGTACATTCACATGGTGGCGTCCCTTGAGCAGATGTTAGACCTAAACACCTGTAGCTTTGAAGATATTATTGGCCGACTTAAGGCCTATGAAGAACGAATATGTGAAGAGGAGGAAGAGCAACATCATGATCAAGGAAAACTTATGTATGCAAACCAGGAGTCTCAGCAAGAAACTTATGGTGGCAGAGGATGAGAACGAAGTAGACTTTCTAACTGGAGAGGACGAGGACGTGGTAGATACAGTTCCTATCAAAGTCAGCGAGAGGCATACAAACAGAATTACGAGAAAGGAACAACTCATATTACATGCTTTAGGTGTGACAAACAGGGCCATTATGCAGCTGACTGCCCGGATAGGTTGCTTAAACTACAAGAAACTGCTGAGAAAAAGGATGATGATACTCAGGAAGCTAATAATTTGATGGTACATGAGATAGTTTATCTTAATGAGAAGAAAGTAAATCCAAAGATTTTTGAAACAGAGCAAAACATGACAACCTGTGGTACCTTGACAACGGAGCTAGCAACCATATGAGCGGTAATCGATCTTTCTTTGTCAATCTTGATGAAGGAATCACAGGAAAAGTTTGTTTCAGAGATGACTCACGTATTGATATAAAGGGAAAAGGCTCAATCCGTTTCTGTTTAGATAATGGCGAGAAGAAAATGCTGAATGAGGTCTACTACATTCCAGGATTAAGAAGTAATATTATAAGCTTGGGTCAAGCTACAGAGGTTGGATGTGAAGTTAGAATGAATAAAGATACATTGATGATGTATGATCAGAAGGGATGACTAATGATTCAAACAACAAGGTCACGAAACAGGCTATATAAAGTAAACATGCAGGCCGATACGTTGCAATGTCTTCAAAAACAAACATCCACGGATTCATCTAAATGGCACGCTTGCTTAGGACACGTCAACACTGAAGCTATTAAGCTAATGATCAACAAAGGATTAGTCGCTAGGATTCTTCACATCACGGTTGAAAAGGAGACTTGCACAAGTTGCCTACTTGGCAAACAAACAAGACAATCATTCTCACAATCAAGTTCATACCGAGCCAAACATCCTCTGGAGTTAATTCATGGAGACTATGCGGTCCAATTACACCTACCACACCAAGTCTTAAGCGATATATATTTGTTTTAATCGATGATTACTCTCGTTATATGTGGACAGCACTTCTAAAGGAGAAAGGAGAAGCGTTTGAAAAATTCATGAGTTTCAAAGTACTTGCAGAACAAGAAACAAAAGCAACCGTGAAGACATTTAGGACTGACATGGGAGGATAGTTTCAGTCCCACGAATTCAAGGATTAGTGTGACAAGTTCGGCATTAATAGACATTTGACTGCTCCATACTCACTCCAACAGAATGGAGTCGTTGAAAGACGTAACCGTACTCTGCTAGAGATGACGAGAAGCTTGCTAAAACACATGAATGTACCAAATGACTTGTGGGGGGGGGGGGGAAGCAGTGAGACACACTACCTATTTGATCAAGCGTTTAGTGACACAATCATTGAAAGAGCAAACACCATATGAAGATTTACGAATGAAGAAGCCAAATGTTGAGCACCTCAAGGTTTTTGGGTGTATATGTTATGCAAGAACAGAAGCTGCAGGGAGAAAGAAGTTGGATGATCGTTCAAGAGCTTTGGTACATCTAGGAACATAACCTGGATCAAAAGCATATCGCTTGTTTGATCCTTTAAGCAAGAAGATAATAGTGGGTCGGGATGTGGTCTTTGATGAAGGGAAATAATGGAACTGGAACGCAACAAGCTTGAACAACGACATTAATTATGGAAAGTTTAAACTTGACATAAGAGGTATAAACAATGACTTTGATGGTGGATCAGTAAATGAGAATGAGGGAAATAATGATATTATGGAGGAAGATATTAGTGACGAAGAAATTGAGAATGACAATAGTGATGAGAATGAAGAAACAGAGGAAGAAGATGAGCAGTCACAGCCAAGAAGGTCAACTAGAGTACGGGTAACTCCTTCGTATTTGGATGATTATATTTTGCTGGCAGAAGTAGAAAGTGAGAGACTCTTGATGGTAATTAATGAAGAACCTTGGGACTATGATGAAGCAAAGGAGATAAAATTATGGGTTGATGCTTGCAAAGATGAGATTTGCTCAATCGAAAGAAACAATACATGGGTTCTTGTCGACTTACCTAAAGGTTTTAAGCCTATTGGTTTGAAATGGGTGTTCAAGGTCAAAAGGAATGCTGATGGCAGTATCAACAAATACAAGGCGAGATTAGTAGCAAAAGGTTATGTTCAAAGACACGGAATAGATTACGATGAAGTCTTTGCGCCTATTGCGCGTGTGGAGACTATACGTTTGGTGATTGCTCTTGCAGCATCAAAAGGTTGGGAGATACACCACCTAGATGTAAAGACAGTGTTCTTACATGGAGAGTTAAAGGAGGAGGTTTATGTTACTCAACCAAAAGGTTTCGAAGTTAAGGGGGAAGAAGATAAAGTATATAACTTAAGGAAAGTCCTCTATGGTTTGCGTCAAGCTCCAAGAGCTTGGAATGTTAAACCTAATACGATTTTTAAAGGACTTGGGTTTCAACGGTGCTCAAAGTAACCATCTCTGTATAGGAAGGACGACAAAGGAGGTCTTCTCATTGTCTGTGTGTATGTCGACGATCTCTTGGTCACTGGTACTACACTGCAGTTCATAGTTGCCTTTAAACGGGAGATGGCAACTAAATTCAAAATAAGTGACTTAGGGAAACTAACCTATTACCTAGGCATTGAAGTTCATCAGCTTGAGAAATGTATTGTGTTGCTTCAGGATAGGTATGCTCGCAAGATTCTTGACGAACAAATATGCACAGTTGTAACCTCTCGCATACTCCGATGGAGATGAACCTGAAGCTGTCAAAAGCAGAACAAGAAAGAAGCATACACGCAACAGAGTATCGTCGGAGTATAGGGTGTCTTCGTTACTTATTACATACTCGTCCTGATCTCTCCTTTAGTGTTGGAGTTCTTAATAGATATGGTGCGGCACTGAAACAAGTACTAAGATATCAACGGGGAACAACTTCACTTGGACTCTGTTTCTCGCGATCATCACAGCACGAGTTGAAGGGATATAGTGACAGCTCCCATAATGTAGACACGGATGATGGAAGGAGCACAACTGGATATGTTTTCTATCTAGGCGAGAGTCCAGTCACTTGTGCTCACAAAAACAGAAGGTTGTTGCTTTATCATCATGCGAAGCTGAATTTATGGCAGCCACAGAGGCAGCAAAACAAGCGATTTGGTTACAAGAATTACTTGGAGAAGTCATCG